GTTTACACTATTTTAAATTTATTCTACAATAAAAAAATCTGAAAATGAATTACGACAAATCCCGTATAATAAATAGAATATGTAGAATAATTGTCTAATTACCTTATATGTTGTGTTGAGGGAAAGAGATTGTTAGCAAGAGGGTAAAACAGCCCTATTGCTAACAATCTGAGGAAACGGTTCAATTTCTACGCACTTCCTTCTAGAAACCTTTATGGTTAATTCATTCTGATTTTTTTAGGATGAGCTAACGGACTTTCTTTCATTATCACCTAATCATCATCACTTGGGAGGAAAGGAATTGTTTTTTTTTAATGGGTGATAATGGAATGGTAACCCCACCCGCGCTATCGGTATATACCGGCGGGGCACCAATAAAGGATGATAGGGAAGGATGAAGCAGATTAGTTAGTCCATCGTGACGAATTCAACAAAAATTGTTCACGATGGTTTCCAGGGGGAACCACGTGGAGGTCGACCTAATAGGGCATAATTAGATTATAGACCTAATGGGCATATTGCTAGCAATGGAGCTGTTAAACTCCATTGCTAACAATCCCATTCCTCCCGGTAAGGGATTGTTAGTATTGGGGATCTAACAGCCCCATTACTAACAATATACCCTATCAGATCGACTTCCACGCGGTTCCTTCTGGAAACCATCTTGATTAACTCTTTATGAATTGGTCATTATGGGTCAACTGATCTATCTCAGCGTCATTTATCGTCTCCCACTGGCGCCCCGCCAGTGTACATTGATAGCGCAGGCGGCGTTACCATTCCATTATCACCTTTTAAAAACCTTATATACTTAGTTTTTTATTCATAAAAACGTCAAACTTCTCGTTAACCTATATTAGCTATTAAATTGTTTTTTTTTTTTGTACTAAATTCCTAATTTGATACTATACATAACATAGTGTAATAGTTAAAATAGGTTTGTAGATTATAGTTTTTATAAATAAGCGGTATTGTGTTGTGTCTACTAATTGTCAAATATCAATCATTGATCGACCCAATTAGGGCTTATCGACCAGCTACGTATTTGAAATGAATTCGTTCGACGTATAAATTCAGTATTAATTTTATTAACCCATCATTATACAACATCAAATTGACACAAAGACCCTCCCACATTCTGTTTACGTTTGCAATAGATCAAGTTAAAAAACCCTAATTTAACGGTTAAACAAACGGACCCCCCTATCAGAAAGGTACACATCTTCGTGAAATATGCTATTATTGGCATTATGACTCAATCGAATGTATGCAGGGTGTCCAAATTGTTGGTTGTAGCTTGATGCCCCCCCATGTCGATATAGTCGGGTTGATATTATCCATATACTTTCGCTTTATTTAAAATTTAATGTGCAGTTTTGATAAAGATTGGTCTAAACGTTGGGTTGTGTATATTATGCATGTTGACGTTTTATATATTTTATTTATTAAAATAGATTTTTACTTTTTTCTGTTAATTCATATTTGTTAATAGGGAACTTCATTAAAATATTACATATAGGTACTAGAAATATATAATACATCTATTTTTGTTTGTTCTATCCAATAAACCTTTCTACCTACTAGCAATCGTGCAGATATAAATATAGACAGAGCAAAGGCAGAGAGGACATTAGCTTGTTACAAGTTTACATTATTTGCCTAAAAATTAGACAGACTTTTAGAAAGTTACGACGAATTTATCCCAGACGAATTTGACATATACCTATGGTTTTGCCTGCGTGAATTAGTATAAAATGTATCCCAAGTACTGATCAAAGATCTATTTGTGTATTATATATCTACAAATTCAGCAGACATGTTCTTTGTTTTTAAGTTATCCCATGAGAACGCACCACTTTATTAGACTAAATAGAAATTAGTAGGTAATTTTTTTTTTTGGTATATGCTGGGGCACTAGTAAGAGATGATAGGTGTGTATGAAACAGGTTAGCTGGCCTATAAATTAAAAAAAGAATTAACCAAAATGGTTGGGGGAAAGCTTTGAGGTTCACTAGATATTACTAGCAATAGGGCTGTTAGATCTTCATTATTTTACATCGTTTTCCCCCCTTTAACCCTAGAACACTAAACTTATTTTTCAACTCTTATTACTAACCTTCGTCGTTTCGACTACGCTGTCAAAAAAGTAGGTTTATAAAATTTTATTGAATAAAATACTTATTTCTTTTACAATATTTGTTTATTACAATCATTTGTTAACAAAAATATAACATTCTTATTTAATTAAATCACATATTTATTACATAATCACGTACTGAGACCATATGTTTCGCTCTAAATAAAGATATTTGTTTTTTTTAAGTGCTTATCTCTTAAAAACTAGAAAAAAAAAACTTTGAATAAGAAGTCAAATAATCAAAAAAAACATCGAATCAACAAAAAAAGTAAAAAACTTTTGGTAAAAAACTATGAACTAAGACATTTGTGACACATATCAAGTTTGTGTTCACCACACATTGATTTATTGCACTTGTAGCAACAAAGTTTTCGTCATCCTTCGTTTTGCTGATAACTGATTTTTCTTTTTTTTTTGCAATAGGATGATATAATTCAAGTGTCAAACTCGATCTACTACTTCCTGGCATATTCAAAATTTGTGTAATAATCGCTCCAGCTCGGCCAGTTAACAAGTATACGTTTTTGCATATGTGGCTCGACTAACTTGTGATGCAAAATTTTTGTATAAGTATAAGTGACAATTATTGAATATCATCTGTAATAAAAGACGAAAAGCAACGTAAAGGATCTAATTCATTTTTACACATACGCTGGTTAATACAAATGTTTCTTGCGACTGTATTATGACTTTGGCTTTAACAATGACCATTTGTGCTTATCTTTTCCGCGAAGTATGTTACGCGATGGTATAATAATCAATTCGTTAGGTTCTTGTGCCGAAGTACCATCTGTTCTTCAATTGATGCCAAGTCCAAAGACATAATTTCATCCTCAGGTGGCGATACATAAATATTGTGTTTCCTTCTCACTCTCTGACGAATTATTTTTCACTATTATCTTCTAATAATAGTTTTAATATAGAACAATAATACACATTACTTTTATGTTGTAAAAACTAAAAAATAAACTTAAAATATTACAAACACAATATTATATCGTTATTATTCGACGACGAGTCATTTTATCTCTTACACAAAAAAACGATTATTGACAGATTTACACGTAATGGATGCGATCGTTTACGGCATGTTTCGTTCGCGTCGTCGATTCGACAACGTTTCTACAAGGTTAAATAACATTATCTTCCTATGTAAATGAATAGAGATTAAGGGCCTGGTATTGCAGGAATAAAAAATTACCGGGATGATTAATTTTACGGCCAGTTACCGCCAAATATAATAAAAAAAAAACAATAAAAAACTTTTACAAAATGCATACCTACTTATAAAAATTACTTAATTATATTCACAATCAAAGTTTTACAGCTTTAAAACTAACTGATAACTGTATATAATATTATGAAAAGCAGAACCCCAACGATATAATGCGATTAATAATTGACACCTTTATATGAAATCATCATAACGTCTTTTTTATACAAATAGCTGTAATATATACCATCTATCGTTATCAGCTAATTATGCAATACAGACATAGTTCTATAGGTGGCGCTAAATATTTGTTCCTGTTACAATAATTTTTACTATTCTTTTTTGTATTTCTAATATTTAAAAATTTTATTATAATAATTAACACTGTTTTCGATTTATTACGAAGTATTTTGGCTGAGAAATTGATTATTGACAGATTTTACTGTGTTACGTTTATGCATGGTGTTCGCGTTTCACAACGTTTCCCACAAGTTATTCTATAGAAATACAGATGGCGTGCAATATACAAATAGTTAAGAGTACTATACTATTATGAAAAAATCTTAGACTTGTACAGCTAGTATTAGTTATAGGATTAATTGTTACGGAAATATTTTTAGGAGATACACAATAAGTATAATTTTTATATGAACATATAACGTCTTTTTTATAATTGTAATATATACCTACATAATTAAGCAAATTATTTATTTATAGATTAGTACTCGAACCATAAAACAATAAAATACTTGTATATTCAAGTCGCCAGTTAATGCTAGAATTGATAGTTGCAAAAACTAAATGAAATCAGAATAAATGCGACTAGTAGAAAAGTACTCATATTCTGAGACTTTTGACAGAATTAAAAAAAAATTTATACAACTTAGAATGGCAAACAAGCTGCCCACCTGATGGAAAGTGGTAACCGTCGCCTATAGACATGAGCAGTACCATGGACATAACAGAGTATACTGTTTCGCCCATGATACCCCCATGCGTTGCCATTCCTGAGGACTCATCGTGAACTATTCCTCTGTACTCAGTAAATTCTCGCCATATTCCACCCTTCAAACCGAAACACAGCCATGCAAACACAACTGCTTCACGGTTGAAACACGAATGGGACAGAGGTACCCAAGCAATCGACTTTTGTACAAAGTCTCCTCTCACGATGATCTACCTATCATCCTTCACTGGTGCCCCGCTGGTGATACCGTTAAGATTAAAAAAAAAGTAAATTAAATTAATGCAAGTGTCAAGAAACTGGGATAATTTTGTCAAAGCCCTACTAGATAAAATATATTTTGAGGCGTAGGCCTACAATCAACAAAATAATAATTACCTATTACATATTTATAAGAGACAATGGAGTCGATTCTGAGGGAACATTTATTTAAAATTATCTCTACGATTAAAATTTCAATTTTATATTACAGTGATTTTTATTATCATATGTATCTAAATTGATTATAATAACTACTACTGGATTCGAATATTTTTTCTCTTTTTATATCTCGACTTTCCTAAGGTCGACTGGGAGAGAATACTTTTAGCGTTAAGTCCACCTTGTACACATACATGTACTAATGAATAAATAAATGCAAGAAACAGGAATACGAAAGGTATTGAATTATTCATTCTTAATTCCAGTTTCTCGGGAAGAATGGCATCAGAGGATGGCTGGACGGCACCACAGAGAAGTCCAACTGGCTGAAATATATCCGTTCCACCAGCTACTCGCACGACGCCAACGTACAGCACACCCTTCACGCTGGTGAAGTATGATCGTCCTTCTTCTAAATCTTATATATATTGTTAATGGTAATTTTACTTGCTTATCACTATATAGAGGCCCATCTAACAGGGTATCTAGGGGGAGAAGGGGTTATCCTGGTATCCCGTCAGTTCATTACATTATCATCCATTTAAGAAAACAGGGCATTTATTATTGGCAGCTAAGAGAACAACCTCACTTGTTAACATGCATTTCGACCTCTCTACATTTTATATTAAATATAATAAGAAGCGACTAAGGGAGGGTAAGGGATGGGCAGCAGCGTCCCTCTTAAAACATGTGTGAAAGCCTAAATGCGGTTGCCAACCTGCTTGCTAAGCGTGGCAACTACTGGCAAAAATCTCCTTATGGGGAAGGCTTATGTGTAGCAGTGGACAGTTAACGGCTGCAATAATAATAAATATTTAGACAGTGACTAGACCCAGTGGTATATTGCTTTGATATTAATGTAAATATTTAATGTAAATTTTCAACAAACCTTCTAGTGGTGGAAGTTACCTCTAATAAATTAAATTAATCCGAGTCACGAAGGATTTGCTAACTGGACAATCGACAAATACGTCTTATAGACTATTATCATTAATTCACACTATTTCACATTATTCACTAATTAACACTCTGATTATTATCATTAATTTACTAGCTATATCATTACAAATTATTGCATTTATTATATTAATATGATATATATATATATATATATATATATTATTTAGAATAAGCCACCCGTTCCTTTCTCGTGGGTGTAAGTAAAGTAGTAAGAGGCGAATAAGGGAACAGTGGTCGAGGGATGGGCAGCAACGTCCCATTTAAAACAGGACCAAAGCCTAACTGCGGTTTCTAACCCGTCTGCCAAGCATGACAACACTGGCAATCCCCTTTTTCCCTCTATGGAGGAGACCCGTGTTCAGTATTGGACAGTTAATTGTTGATATGATAATGATGTATACTCATGACTACAGTACTTTTTTTACCCGATTTGGAACTGCAAACATAGTTTAATTAGACTGATTTATTTTCACAACAAAACTATGTCTCAGAGAATCGTATCGAACAATTGAGTGAGTTTTGTAATCTAAAATCTCAAAAATAAATAAACTGATATAGTTGCGTCATTACAACCCTCATCATACTTTTGTGTGTGCCCCAATAAGACCCCAATGAAATTTGAATGTCGAACGTTGGCACTTCCGGTGGCAGAAAATCGGTGTTCCTGAACAACAGTCGCGGCTTCCGGTCAACTGTAGCGTTGTAGGGGAGCGAACAGATGCGGTGATTAGATCCACTCGCGCCCTTTGTACCACAAATCTATTTAATTTCACCTCGGTCTATTACGATTAAATTTATACGTGAAATTGTAGCTCGTTTTAAAACTTCGTAAAGTAGAAAAATATATTTTTAAACATACAGCAAAAAATTACTAGCAAGTATTTATTGAATGGTAGACTTGGTAAATCTCTTATTTTCTATTAAATTGTGTATTTTGAACGTATTTTATTTTTCAAAACATTTTTCTTTTTTTCTATTATTTGTTTATTATTATGAACGTATTTAATTTTTAAAACATTAAATTTTTATTTTTTATTAACTTTTTATATTTCACTTTTTAGAGACTTTAATAGAGGTTAAACATATCCCAATTTCTTTTGGAAACACGAATGTTAACAGATGATATTGAATTTAACGGAACTAGAACAAACGAATATAATCTATTCGTTTGTTCTAGCTCCTTAAATAATTGACTGAGTTTATTTTCTATCTCATGAGATAATATTTAAATAAAATCTAATAAAATGAAATTCGAAATTACCATAACTTATGCTATTAGTTTTGTTTCGATTATAATATGCGCTGTCTAAAGTGTATATAAATTAATTTACTTTCCTTAAATTATGTTTTAGCCGAAAAAAAATATATAAATATCTACAGGAAGTCCTCTGTTCTTCCTGGAATGTCGTTAATTATGATACTTGTATAGTTATAAAAATCCATATCTGAATTTATACCAGTTTTTAGACTATTTATCCTGTTGACTAATAGACAATGATGAATGTGCATATGCATGAGTATGTAAATTATATTTTACATTGGTTTTTATTCATGATTTCCAATAACGTTGATTATTATTATTATTATATATTTTTTTAAATGGAGAAGAATCCTATGTTCTTCTACTTCTACTCTCATTCCGATGATATATAGATACCCTTATTACTATCTAAATTTGAACTTTATTTTATATATTAATATAACTTTTAAATATATTTATAATTGATTAAATTATAATAAATTTGTAATGGGAACGACATGATTAAATAAAACTTGATTTGTAATTTTGTAAATTATGAATAAATGACTTGTATTTGATTGGTTGAGCCGATAAAGCGGCAAGAGGTAACGGAAAATGCAACTCACTTTTATAATATTATTATGAACTGAAATATAAAATAGACATTATACTCGTATTACTATTATTTATTCCACTATTACAATCTGCATTTCAGGTGTGGTACAAGGTGATCCGCGACATCACCCCCGGCCAGGAGTTGCTGTTGGGTCCAAGAACTCCACTGCCGTTGCAAGATATTCTTCCCGCAACTGGTTAGTATCCTTTTTTTTTATAGAAGACACCTCATATATTATACTAGCAATCCAACCTAGGTTCGCACGAGTAGATAGAATTGAAGAAAATAATATACATACCTAATGTTACTCGCTGATAATGTATTTTTAGTTTAAGTCTACATAACAAACAAACAATCAAATCTTTCTTCTTAATAGTATATATATATATATATATATATATATATATATATATATATATATATATATATATATATATATATATATATATATATATATATATATATATATATATATATATATATATATATATATATATATATATATACATAATATTTTCAGCTAAAAGTAAATCGGTTTTTTTATATTTAAAGATCAGAAAGCAAAATACGAAACATTGAATAGAAAAAATAAATGTAAAGACATGCTAGAAGGATAATTAAAGAGTGCCCACAAAAAAATCGTCTTCAATTGTGTTATTTTAATTGGAAAACTAAACTACTGAATAGATTTTGTTAAATTTCTATGGCATCTGTAAGTATATTTTTTCAGTTAAAAAAAGAAAATAATTCTTAAAATTGATTTGAAAGTGACGGTGTAATGAGGAACATAAAAATATACAACTGAACTGAGAACCTCCTTTATTTTGAAGTCGGTTGAAAAATGTAAATGAAATAATACTAATCCTCTGAAATGCTAAACTTGTAGGCTGATGATAAATGTCCTTCTCTTTTTTATAGCTAGTCAGTACATTACTTTAGTAATGTGGTACTTGTTAATGACTATTTTTTTTAATTTTGATAATTTAATTAATGTACCCTACATTAGATATACTTTTTTTAATTTGGTATTGATTTATTTTATGCAAGGTTGTATAAATAAGTAATTTATCATTATACCTTTACATCATGTTCCTTACGGGGCAGACATAGAGTACCAAGCGGTAACAGGATTTGTTTATGTAGATGTTATTCATCATATTTAGTCATTATGTTTAGGTCGAATGAAAACTCTTTACTGTTCCTTTCAAAAAACGATACAAATTATAAAGATTTACAATATTTATTGATTTAAACTTTAATGCACAACAAAATTTTATGTACATTTGGCGTACTTAACACAATATGTACACAAACAAAGTAAATAATTAATTATATAAACTTAATTACATAAATGAAAGGTAGAGAAGTTATCTCTCTGGGCAGCCTTATCGCTAAATAACGATCTCATCCAGGCAATCTTCGGATAAAGAGGAATAATATATTTCTTTTTTATCTGTTAGTACTTTATTTACTTATTACGTAATAGATAATTATAAAAATAAATCTTATAATTGAGTGTGTATTTTGAAAACTATAACATAACTCGTCTATGTATGTACACTACTATGTAAGATACTAACGAGTCTCACATCAGTTGAATCACGGTCACGCGTGCTTCACGCTTCGACAGTCCGCAGTTAATTGGAGTCACCTGCCCTATGCCCTGTGCCCTGTTCCGGTCCTCGTAAAATGTTCACCCCTGTCACGTTACGTACAGGTGGTTCATTATAGCAAATTTGAAAATCTGTGATTTTTCCTATAGGAAATTCAATTTGAAAACCTAAATGTCTCTATTCTTTATTTTTATTTTTTTAATAATAACGTTCTTTTGCTGAACAAAGGCCTCTGCTTTATTCCTCTAGGATTGACTTCGATTTAGAGATTGCATCTATACAGTCTGTTTATCTTCTAGGTCTTTCTTTTTTGAGACTAGGGCGTACAACATAATACTCGAAATAAAACACTATCAAGTTGTAATAATGATTTATTACTTTTTTTATTTTGAAGAAAAATATTATCGTGTACTGTGTAGTATTTATTGCTCTAATTATATTATATTACTGGCTGTATTTCGCGGCTTCGCCCGCGTGAATGAGTACATATAGTATCCTATGTGCTAAGTTAGGGCATAACCTATCCCTGTACCAAATTTCATTCAAATCCGTTCAATAGATTTCGAGTAATAGAGTGACAAAAATCCATCTATTCATATTACAATATCAATAGTTTTAATGTTAGAAAATTAACCCCATAAGAAATAATTGAAAAATCTAGAAATGTTTCTTGAAAAAGTTTTGATGATTCAAGTTCTAGAAACGTGTTGATTTGGTTGACATTTATATCCATTGTTATAAATTAAAAAATAAATACAATACAATATATTTTTGCGAAAATTTTAATTTTATAGTTATAGAGGATTTGTTATATGGATAGAGTAAATGAAAAATCCGTTAACCCTCTCACGCGCACGCTGTATAAACAAAAAACTACCGGACTTTCGGACCGAGCACCGGTGCCACGCGCATACGATGTTTAATTTAGATAAATCGCAACGTACGCGCTGCCTGATGTGAGAAATCACGCATATGCCTATATTAACGTAAGGGTCGTGTGTGGAATTAGTGCCACTGGAAGTGACAAGAGGACAGTATCAGTAATAACTAGGTGTTGTAAATATTTCTCCCCCTCTCTCGAACTTGTTCTCTTCTCTGTAACTCACAATGATCGGTCAAAAAAAGCGCTCCCACCGTCTTCGGCATAATCACATTTGTACATATAGACTTATACATATGGTATATGTATATCTTAATTATATAGAATATAAAAAAATAAATTGTCTTCACAAATGGTAACAATAACACATGAAATGTCATCATTTTTCAGAACTCAAATTTCTTATATTATTTGGAATTCTTTTGTGTGAGTTACAATAATCTTTTATTACCTATTTTACTCTTTATACTGATGTAAAACAAGAAACCTATTGCTTCATTACTCTGAACTGCGTCTATAATCAAAAGTTTTATCTAGTATGTAAAATCCTTTCATCAATTTCATATATTATTTGAATGAAGAACAAATTTAAAAATGTCAAATCTTGAAAAGTCCATAGTTTAAAAAATATTATGAAAATCATATATAATAAAATTATATCTAATAACTGTGTGATTGAAAACAAGTTGAATTTGACTTAATAAATATAAAATAAACGTTTCAGTATATAAAGTATTGATCTGTCACATCCAGAGTTATCTATTATATCAATGTCCATAGGGGTCTTCGGAGGTTCTATGCTGCTTTCCGGTGCGACGTTGTCGCAGCCGGCGTGGTAGGTGATTTATGGTTTTCAAATTGTATATAATTACCGTGTTGTTTAATAACAATTACTCGTGACATCGTGAAAACCAACATAAAAGAGCTTATATTCTAATGCCTAGTAAATTCATTAATTAAATAAATTAGGACAATCTATTTTATCTGTATAATATAATATCCAATCCCATGTAAGATAGTCGGAGAAAATTGAAAGCCAAACAATTCTCTCTTTAACAGTATATTATTTCTTCCTTTATAAAGATCACATTTTTTGCAACTTAGAATGGCAAATTAGCTAATGGCTCACCTGTTGGAAAATTATAACCGTCGCTTAAAGACATGAACAGTACCCTGGGCATAATAGAGTATACTGCGTCACCTGTAATACCTTTAATGCTTTGTCATTTTTTCATATTGTTAGCTTTTTTATTTCTTTAATCTTTATAGTTGTCATAAAAATAGCTCATTAGTAAATAAGCGTTTTATCTGAATAAGGAGTGAAGAGTCTCTGGAAGCGATGTGCACGCATGAGACGAATAGCACGAAGCAAGAGATGTATGTAGGTAGAGATAGCATTTTTATAATTTTAATGAATTTGCACGATACAACAATATTGTGAGTGGAAATTTACAAGTTTCTCCATACAATACAATTGCATGATTTTGTTTACCTATTATATTGTGACGGTAAAACTACCTATATAATATCATGCTGTGCTATGGTAAATTATAAAAGTGTCTAAAATCTTACCGTACGATTAAAGCAAAATGAGAATAATAATTTAGTAAACAATCATTAGTACTGAACACCCACATGGTGTAAACATTAGCTGCATGACGCTCGAATCTACAATGACTCCTAAATATCTATGATTAAAATCGATTTGCAGTCATTCTCTAACATTTTGTCATAATGATCCGGGCTTGCACAAGTGATGATTGATGTATAATTTGAGCGTTGAAATTATCTATAGAATTTAGTGACAATTTTAAAATATATTTTTTATTTATCAACCGACTTCAAAGTGGAGGAGGTTCTTAGTTCGTTTGTATTTTTTTATGTTTGTTATTTCATAATTCCATCAATTGTAAATCGATTTGGAAAATCCTTTTTTTATCGGAAAGGATATATTTACAAATTGATCATATAAAAAATTATCGAAATTCATTCAATAGTTTAGTTTTTAGATTAAAATAACTGGTTTTGTCACAATTGAAGTCGGTTTTTATGGGACACAATTTTTAATTATCATGCGCCGAATAAGGGTATTTATATTTGTCGAAAGAAAATGTACATGCAAAATAGGTCTTATTTGTATCTTCATCAAGTCAAGGTCTACCGAAAGAAGAAGGTCAATTATAAAGTGATTTTTACATTTTATAGGGTTTGTTTCCATACTGGTTTTGTATTAATCTTGTGACAATTAAAGCTGCCGTTTATTTTTGATGAGCCAATAACTTATTGAGAAGCAAAATCGACATGTAACGTTCGAAATTCAAATATTTACAATGTAAGGTATTTATAAAAAATCTCGTCGTTTATCGTTGATTTTTTGTAGAGCAGCACTTTTGTTTGTAAGATCGATACGTTAGTTTTTTTTTTGGAAGTCATTGTTTAGACTTAACTTTCTCGCGGGCTGGCGCACAAATATATCTTTATTTATTCATAAATATAATCCATCTACTTGTATATGCAATAACAATAATATTATAGTTATAACCCTTTATTAGCCGTTGCTTTTTTCATATCGGCCGCGTGTATTCGTGCCGGTAATGAATGAGTGTCGCGCGCGCTGACATTTGTCATCGCGCAATTGTCGTGCAGATTAAAATTGATGACGTTGCTTTGTCCGGCGCGGGCGCATGCGCTATTGTCGCACGC